AGCAAGACCCTGTCTCTAAATAAAACATTAAAAAAAGGGCTGGGGATGTCACTTAGTGGTTAAGTCCCTCTGGATTCATTCCCTGGTACCAAAAAAAAAAAAATTATATGATCCAATTATATGACACAGGACAATTTTTTGGCAAAATTCAACATCCATTCCTGATAAAAAGCTCTCAGTAGAATAGAAATAGAAGGAAACTGCATCAATCTGATAAGGGGCATCTATGAGAAACCTGCAGCTAACCTTTTATACACAGAAACGACTGAATATTTCCCCTATAATGTCAGGAGCAAGACAAAGATGTCCACTCACACTATTCCTATTCAATAGCATATGGAAAGTCCTAGCTATGAAATTGTCAATAAAAAGAAATAAAAGCCATGCAAACTAAAATATAGAAATTAAACTGTCCCTATTTTCAGATGACATGATTGTCTACCTAGGAAATTTTTAAAAATCTATGAACAAGGGCTGGGGTTGTAGCTCAGCCTCAGGTAGAATGCTTGCCCTGGGTTGGATCCTCATCACCACATAAAAAAACAAAACAAAACAAAACAAAACAAAAACTATGAACAAGCTCTAGAAAAGCAAGTGAGTTCAGAACAAAGCACAAATCCAACCTGCAAAAATCAATGTATTTCCACATTCTTACAATGAATAATTAATTAGAAACCAAAATTTAAAAAGGAGTATAATTTTCAATAGCTGGAAAAAATACTTAAGTAAAAATGAAACAAAATACATGAAGGATATATATGCCAAAAATCACAAACCACTGAAACAAATCAAAGATCTAAATACTGGTAAGACATATTATGCTCATGAATTGGAATATTCAGTTTAGTTATCTATTTTCTCTAAATCTACAGATTTTTTACAATCCCAATTTAAATTTCAGCAGGATTTTTTAGACACTTTTAAAAATAGTGTTATTGTATTTTTTATACCATTATTTTATTTGTTTAAATGTATGTGGTGTTAAGGATTGAACCTAGTGCCTCACGCATGCTAGGCAAGTGCTCTATCCACTGAGCTATGGCCCCAGCTCCTCAGCAGGATTTTTTTTACATGTATAGAAAAGTAGATTTTAAAATTCATATGGAAAGGCAAAGATATTAGGATAGCCAAATAACACTGGAGTTTCATTTCTTTGGGATGGAACCCCTGAAATTAAACTCAAAAGAGACTGAGGCCCAGGTCAGAGTGCCAATTTACTAGTTTCCACTGGGAAATGTAACCCCAGGGACCCAGTACTCTCCCACCTGCTGATCCCTTCTTGTGGTTCTATTTACATTGCAAATCCCATTCCACTCAGCAGGTGCTGGATGAACCTGTAATGAAGTCAAGGGTGTGAGTGTGACCATCTCAGGTGCTGGTATCACCAGGCTGTGGCAGCCAGATGCTTATTGTAAGTAAGACATAAATAAAATTTTAACACTTGCTTAGTAGCAAGGGTTTATATATATATATATATTATGCTAATTCAAAACAATTTTTACTGATTTTGTTTTTCACGCATACTTTCCTCCCTTCTTCTATTAATTTCTTCTTGTCTAGATCATTCTCAACAGTACACAAACATGTAGTAATAAAAATTCAACGCACACATAAACATACCCTTAATTTCACATTCTTTCTAGTTACCAAGCAACTCTTTTGCTTTCCTTTACAGCAAAATTTATTTAAAGTATTGTCTATCTATGCTCATCTGCCCTACTTTTTCACTTTCTACTGTCTATGGAACCTCCTCCAATCAGGCTTTTTCCCCATGGCTCTCACTGAAAAGATCTTGTTAGTGACACAAATGGCCATTATCTTACTAAAGCCAGTGGTCATTTTCTATCTTCATCCTACTTGACCTTTTATTAACATTTAACACGGTTGACAATTCCCTTTGTTTTAAAACACCTTTTTCTTGAAATTTCTGGAACACCATACTCTCATTTTCCCTCAAACTCAACATGGACACTTCTTGATTTTCTCTGCTGGCTCATCTTCCTCTACAAGACCCCTGGAGGTTGAAGTGTTGGTTTTATCTGGCCATATTGCTGCAGTCAAGCTAGTGAGTGACCCTCAAGTTCATATTTCTTGCTGAGACCTACATTCTGATTTCTAACCAGTATATGCAACTCCTTTCCTGACATTTCTGTTTGAATGTGTAATAAACACCTTAAACACTTTATAGCCAAATATGAAGTATTAATTCCCCATGTGTGTGTGTGCACGCGTGCACGTGCGTGCGCACGCGCACACACACACACACACACACACAAATTCATAATCCTCAGGCTTTACATTGTCGTTAAATTGCATCAGTCATCTAATTCTAATGCCAATAGTAACCTGGGGTTTTTCCTTCATTCTTTATTTTACCTTTATCCTCAACAATGTATCAGAACATGTGTTTCCAAAGTATGTTCACAAGATCTCATCAAATCCAAGACTGTTAAAAACACAGTCTAAGCCCCAACTATGTCTAGCTTGGGCTACCACAATGGCCTCCTAACAGTCTCTTTTCTACTCTTGCTCCCCTAAAGTCCATCTTTGATCAAAGCAATTGGAATGATCATGCATATATACACAAGGCTCAAAGTTGTTTGAAAATTGAATGTTTTTATATTTATTAGAGTTCATAGTGCTATATTAGACTCCTAAAAGCCATCAGAAAATTAGCTCTTTTGAAATCAGTTCACATAATAAGAATGGCAAGAATTGAACATTTATAGATTTATAGATAATAAAACTCTGCACCAGTTCTTGGTAATTTATTTTCAGTGTATTTTGCAAATCAACACAGTATTGTGTAGATGCTTCACTATATAAAATAAATGGAAGGCATGATGATAAGATGTTCAATATCATTACTCAATAGGAAAGTGTGAATTAAAATCACAAGATACCGTTACACACCTATTAGAATCATTAAAACTAAAAAGACTGATTATACCAAGGGTTGCCAGCACTATTCTACACTGTATCAGGAATGAAAATGGTGCCAACATCTTGGAGAACAGTTTGAAATTTTTAAAAAGTTAAATATATACTGTCTTAATCTGTTCTGCCGCTAGAACAAAATGCCTCACACTGTAATTTATTTTTAAAAATTCTAACTATTATGGAAGCTGAAAGCCATGATCAAGGAGCCTACAGGTTCTGTTTCTGGTGAGAGTTGTGTCTGCTTCTAAGATGATGCATTGTGGCTGCATCCTCTGTAAGGGACAAGCACCATGTCCTTATTACGGTGAAAGGAAAAACAACTTCCTTATAATTTTATGAGTTCATTAATACCATTCATGAAGGCTCAGCCTTCATTACCTAATCACCTCCCCCAAATCCCTACCTTCTAATAATATCATCCTAGTGATTAGGTTTCAACCTAAGAATTTGTTACTCTCCCAACTACCCACCTGTACCTCTGCTAGAGATAGCCTACATTTCTTACTGTCAAATGGGCTCTGGGACCATTCCTTCGTGCTCTGCATTTGTTAGTAATGTTTTGTCCCACCTGAAATAGTCTTTTGCCACTTTTAGGCCAAACTCCAATGTTGCTATCCCAGAAAACTTCTTTGACTACATTGATCCCATTTGAGTATTTTCCACATTCTAAGGTTACTTTTGACATCTGAACCTCAAAAATGAGTACATGAAATGATTTGAAATACAGCATTAGCTTTTGCTTCATGTGAATTAGTCTTATCTTTGAAATTGTATATTTAACTGTCTTGAAAGCAAAATGAGAATATGCCTCAAATATCTTTGAACCCTGGCCACTATCCAGGCTAGAGATAAGCACACTGAGTATTTGCCACACCAGCAGAATGCAAGCCTGGATACTGTAGTAAAGGACAGACTCTTTAGAGATTTTGGACCCAAGAATTTGAAACCATTTTTGCCAGGACCAAGGGTCTCAAGGAGATTCAGAAATCCTTGACATTAGAGAAATATTACAATATTCAAGGAGGTCAAGCTGGTAATATAAATATGTAAATTAATGGGTACAGTGTAATTCCTGACAGTGCTTTAGAAAACTCCTGCTCTATTTTAAGATTTCTAAAATCCAAGTCAAACAATAAAGAATCCTCCTAGCAAACACCTTATATCCAGAGTCAAGGAGATACAACAACAAAGAGTAAGTACGTTGTGACCCATAGATGGAAGTGGCCATTGGCCCACTTTTCTCTATAGGCTTTCATCTCCCTGAGCAGAAATAGCTGGGCAGAAACAGTTCTGGAAAACCATGCCTTGGACAGAGTTCCAAAAGCAAGCCACATTAATGTGTCTGCATGGAAGGCGATGTTTACAATCCCCCCCACCCTACACACACAAACACACACACACACACACACACACACACACACACACCCAAGGGCCTCCCTTCCTTCCTCCCACAATGTCATTTAAAGATACAGCCAACCCTGCCTTTCATCAGCCATGGTCTCCTCTCCTTGCATTTCTGATTTCTTGTCACCCATTGCCAGAAATATCAAAGCTCTCCATTTGCAAGCCATAACCACTCGCTCACCTCCCTAAACTCCTGTGCACTTCTCAGTTATATTTCCAGGCAAGTGGGGAGTTGGTGAAGTTCCTCCATCCCAGCCACTCTTCCTCCACTCTTCCTTCCCTCCCCTGTGTCACAAAAGCACTCAGTTTTCTGAGGACAGGTGACCAAACATGTGTTGTGAAAGGAGTGAGCCGAGCCAGCAGCCTGGTGTGGGAAATGGAGAATGAAGAGAAAGTGGGAAATAGACATGTGCGTGTGGCACCTCTAGACGCAGGCTCTGCAACCTTCACAGAGGAGCAGACGCCTTCTCCTACTGAACCACCACATGAGCCTCCCTTGTGAAACAGGAAGGCTTTGTGATGCAGTCTGCAGCCTGGTTCTGTCCTCTGTGAGGCGGACATGACAAGGGTGAAGAACTGGGAGTCATTTGGCACTAAGCCCCTGAACGCCTAGTTGTGGAGATGGTTGGTCTCCTTATGCTAATGAAGTTTAGGCCATGTTGACCTTTACATTTGTTCTGTGGGACTTTGGACAATTCTTATATACATATGGCTTCATTTTCATCATTATCTTAATTATCTGGCAGATTAGACGGAGTTACTGTGGATTGAAGCTCGAGCCTACAAGAAGCTGCTGCCGGGTAGGGAAACGCTGTGACCACAATTGAACTAGTTTAAGCTTTCAAGGTCCAGGGTCACACCTTATGACCTCACTACCCCTCCCTGCCAAATTTAATACCATACCTTCAGGTACTTTTATATAGTCCTTTTTTCCTCAGAGGCTAAAAGCATTTTTTTTAACAAGTTCACCCCTGTACTTTACCCTGACTGAAAAGCCAACAACCTCTGATTGACTTGAGTGGAGACCTGGATATGGGATCTACTTCACTGGCTCTCAGAAGATCTCCCCATATGGGGGAATTTCTGGCTTACAGTCCTTTAAATCACAAGCTCAAGTCCTGTGACTATTAGAACCATACCTCCTTCAGGGTGTACCATTCTTCCTCTTGTTTTATGCCAATTTCCATCAGAACTTCTCATAGACCTATGGGAGGTACAGAGTTTGGAAAAGACTTAAAGAGAATCAGAAATAGCAGAGAAGGGAAAAATGTTGAGGTGAAAAAAAAAGATGAAGTATAGATAAAGGAAATGTAGAAGAGTATATAAAATGCAGACAAATACATAGAAAAGGATAGGAAATGTATGTAAACTTTGTCTCATTTTGGTCATGAAAAAGAAAATGGTGTCCCACTTTCATTCTAATGTTTTTGTCTTCAAGCGTCACCGAAAAGTCAGGCAAAGGGCTAGAGATGCAGCATCAAGAGGTAAAGTCCTAAATTCTTCTCTGACTCCCTTCCACTGTGGGCTAGCTTCCCATGTGGTAGTTGTCCCTCTATGAACCCTGGTGTCAGGAAATGGGTGTTCTAACCACTGAAGTCTCCAACTACCCAAATCGGCAACTTTCACAGAGGAATTCTGTGGGTAGGAAATCAGAACCTCGGAATGTTTGAAAATTGTCTACCTCATTCCCTGGAGAATAAAGAATTGAGGAAGTAAAACAGATGCCCTTAATGGTCATTTGCTAGTTTTAAAATCCTTTGTAACACTTCATCTCTCAGTCTTGTCCTCCATAAAACCATCTGATGACCCTCCCTCACAGTGAGGTTGTGAAGGTCAGACGATAATAGGCGCAGGAGAGCAAGTCATGAATGATCCGATTTACATTGAAGTGTCTTAGAGTATTGAACAGTTGAATTTTTCAGTCCCCTCTCGCTGAGAGGCAAAGGGCTCCAGCTTCTTAGAGAATGTCCCTGAAGTACACACATGACATAAAACTGTCCTGGTTCCTCAGCTCGAAGATTTTGCCAAGAAGAAGCTGAGAAGCCGCGGAAGCTGCTCTCTGTCATGAAAAGGTGATCTCTTGCTCTTTGCAGTCTTTCAACTCCCAGCCTGCCTTGTGGTGGTCTCTCAGCCTGGGCTGGAGCAGAAATGAGGAGAGGAATAATGACTGGGAGGAGACAGATAGGATGGAGGCTGGTTCCCTGGTTGAGCGGTTTGCAAGGGAAGACAGTAGTTCAAACACCTCAAGAGAGAAGAGACACCCTATTCAGCAATGTGCTAGGGTCACAGTAGTTCTACAATTCAAGATTTGATCAGTAAATAAAAAACAGTACATGGGGTTACACTCAGCCAGGACACAATTATCCCATTAAGAGAATGGGTTTTGCACAAAGCTCTCCTCTTTCTCATGTTCTTTTTAGAGTTACACATTTTCAAGGGAAGATTCCTGGGTCTTCCTGGACCCTGCTGACATTTCCTCCTCTGGTCTGTCTTCAGGAAGGACAATTCCTGGGACCCCTCATCCAGGAGCCTATTATCTTCTTAAATTTTCTAGAGAATGAGACTGATAATCAACAGAGGCTGGGTACAGCAGCACAGACATCCCATAAGGGATTCATTCTCAGAATGATGAGTTCCCATAAGGAACTCATTTTTCATAGCATAGGCCCCACTCTTATAGGACTCAGAGATGGAGGTAGAAATCCTCAGCCCACAATTCTTGCAGAGGTAGATGTCACTCTATTAATGATTGCCATGATTTCCTTCCCAGCCACAGCTGGCTTCCCCAGAAGGAAAGCGTGCGGCAGCTTCTGTGTGCAGATCCCTACTGCCAAATCTGCAATGGTGTGGCTCTGGAGATTCAGCAATTGCTGGAGGACGAAAACAACCAGATCTCCCCTACATTTCTGGGGCCATCACAGGGCTCTTCCTGCTTAGAGACGTTGTCCGTGTCAAGTATGTCTTTTGAGCAGAATCTGGAGCTCCATTCCCAGCACTCCAGAGACCTTTCAGGGACATCTGTCACCCCAGCACTAACAACTGAAGAAATCAGCATTCAAGAATACTGGACTGATCGCCTCCCGCTAGGACAGGAATTTCAACTGGTAGAGATGCCTGTAGGTCCACAGACTATGGTTTCTTCAAGGCTTGAGTTGTTTGTGGTTCCAGGGAATGAGCAGGAGATGAGACAGAACAACCCCAATTTTGTCCAGGGGAACCAAGGCCAGCAGTCCTTGAATACTCAGGTCACTTTTATGCCCCTAACCCAAGAGCTCACAACCTTGGCACAACCTTTGGCCTTGCATATAGTCCCCTATGCACACCTGCCATTCTTTAGTCCTGAAGTCCTGAGGCTTCTTGAAGTACATGTAAAAAAATGGATGCATTTCCAGAGGTGGGGGCTCCCCAGGCGAGTGGAGGAATCCCTGAGGCAGCTTATGCCAAACCCACCGATGTATTGCGAGTCTGAAAATAACCAACCAGTTTCTTTAATCCAAAATAATACTTCTCAGATCTGTGTCCATAGATTTGGGACTATTTCTCACCAGACCTGGTGCTCATATGTGGCTGGCCAACCCACTCAGACCTTCTGGGTTTCTGAATGGTCCCTTATAGATTCAGAACAAAGACACCACTGCCAGAAAATCCCAAAACCTGTGGCTTTAGCCTTGCCATCTCCAGCCCTTAAAGACCTAAATGACCTCTATTCACTGCCAAGTGGTCAGGCAAATAACTCACAGAGCAAATATAACCAGCTCTTCTGTGGCCTCCCTACTCTGCATAGTGAATCCCTGGTGGCCACTTTCTTGGACTCTAAAGGCCTCTCCAGGAACAAGAGTATGCCCAGGTCCCCCTTGAATGGTTCTCTTCTCTTCAATGAGCTCTATCCCCTGCTGTCCAAAACTCCACCTGAGTCAGCCCCAACCTCAGCCGCAGGCTCACACCCAACCCCCCTAAATTGCATGTCTCCCTCTAAGAATCAAGTCAGTGTCCCATTTCTGACTACAGCTGAGTGTGAAGCCTTGGAATGGCACTTGCTGCAGAGGCAACTCCAGCTTCAGTGGGACCTGCCAGCAGTCTTCCAGAGATCTCAGCATGCTCCAGGTCCCAAGCAGTATGAAACATGTGACAAAATCCAACCTTCTGAGACCATGAAGACCTCCTGGCCAGGAAAGTCCTTCTCAGTCCTCACCAGGGAACTGCTCTTCTTCCCAGAGCATGCCCGCAGGCTGCTGGAATTCCATCTCCAGAAGCAGTTGATTCACCATCGCTGGGGCCTGCCCCCAAAGATTCAGCAGTCCATCCAGTTGCTCCTTTCCTCCGCTGACCAGCAGACCCTGACCTGGAGCAGTACAGCCCTACCCAGGGTGAGCATGCCCCCGCTTGCAACCCTAGACGACAGTGAAGCTGGTGTCCTATTCTCACCCATGGTAGCCCAAATGCCCACCCCCATGCCACACTTGTTTGCCCAAGCCAAGGAAATATTGCAGAGCCACATCGACTCCAAATGTGGACAGATCCACCAGGGCCAGGTCCCTGCCTGTGTATTCAGCTCCTGGGAATGCAGAATTCCTGGAGGCCTGGCAGTGGCTCCCTTCCCTTGCATTCCACAAAGCCAGCACCCGGAACTGCAGGCAGCAAGTGAACCTGACCCTCAGCCCAAAGTTATGCCCTGGATGCCAGTGGCCCTTGATCAGCAGCAGCAGCAGGCCTTACCAAGTGCTGACACTGAACACCCTAAGCTGCCCCGAGTCCTGTCTGATACAGCCATTGAGAAACTGGAAACCATGCTGCGGCACAAGTATCTGGTCTTCCTGTCAGGCCTGCCTGCTCTGTACTGTGTGGCCCTCTCTAGGGCCATGGCTCCGGCAATCTGTAGTCAACCTGTAATCACAGAGATGGTGTCTGGGCCTGTGGAAATCCCAGAGGAGCCTCCGACTCCTCCACTGACTCAGATGATCTCATCTGAAGACCCCTGCAGGAGGCTTGAACCACGCTTTCAAGATGACAATGAGACTTGGGCAGACAACACAGAGGAGTTCCAGCCTGAAGTTCGGGTAGAAGAAATGACAGAGATGGTGACTCCAAGGAGCCAGACTCTTCCTACTATCCCTTCCTCATCCAAGACACACATCCTGGCCAAACTAAATTTTCACCTGAGAAAAAAGGTCATAGAGATACACCTGGGAATTTCCATAAGGATAAGGGAGAACAGGGAACCAACTGAAGGATTCACAGAGAACAAATCCACACAGGAGTCTCTTGGGAGTCTAAGCACCCCAGAAAGCACAGTAGTCCAGGAACTGTCCATCACACCAGAGTCTCCTCTTGCCCCAGACTCAGAATGGATCCCCCTTAAAAAACAGCTGGCCACTGAGTTGAAGGCAGTACAGCACAACCTAAAGTCACTTAGTTCCAAACCAGTGCCCCATGGATCACCCGACTGGGCTTCCAAGATTTCACAACTCAATGCGAACATGACCGAGGCCCAGATACTTTGCGTTCAGGTGGAGGCCAGTGTGAACAACCCCATCCTGGAGGAACCCTGGAGCCCTGAGCCCCCAAATCCTGACAAGATCAAGGACTCAGCCCAAGTCCTGGCACTGGCAGAAAACAAAGAGGACCCAGGGAAACCCAAGGCAGCAGGGGACCTTGGAGAAGGGGATGCAGGGCTTGGGATCTCCTCAGTCAGTGAAGAAAGACACCCTGCTGAAGATCAGAGGCCAGAAAGGATGAACAGGACATCCCAAGGCTCCTGGCGATGGAACCAGAGCTTTCTTCTTGAGGATCCCTGTCCACCTAGCCACCAGCATCACCCTCAGCTGCAGTCCCCAGAGCCACCCCCAGTAGTTCCTGGGGGGAAAGAATCTGAGCCTGACAGGCAAGACAGTCCAAGCAAGCCACATGTCATCCCTGAGCCCACAAGGAACCCTAAGAATGCCCAGCCCGTGGTGCCTTGCGTTTCCCAGGACAAGTCTTTCCTCCCCCAGAAAATTCAGGGTAAACCTTTGCAGGGCCAAACTCTGCACAGTCAGGTCTTGCAGGGGAAGGCAATGCCAGCCCATTCTCACAAGAAGCCCATCGTTCCAGAGACTGGCTTGAGAAATAAAATAAAATCCTTTCTGCACTGCATTACCCCTGAGAAGAAAGGCAAAGGGCACGTAGAGTCTATGTTCTCCAAAGCTGGGAAAGTGTCCAAAACCAGAAAAGAAAATGTTGAAAAGAGCCTCATTCCAGCCAAAAGCCCCATGGGGAGAACTAAGACAGAGAAGCCAAGTGGGCACCCCAAGGACCGTTCAGCCTCCCCTGAGAAGCCAATGGGCCTGGCCTTCTTAGATGCCAAGGCCCTTTCAGCCTCCCCTAAGAAGCCAGCAGGCCTGACCTTCTTAGATACCAAGACCCGTTCAGCCTCCCCTGAGAAGCCAATAGGCCCAGCTGCCTTAAATGGTCCCCATTCCCCAGACAGTAAGCTCCGGCTACGCTCCCGACAGCATGGCTCTGCCTCAACCCTGGGCCATCCCCGCCACTGCCCTCGGCACTGTCCTCGAGTGGCTTGTGCCTCCCATCCAGGGAGCCTCCCCTAGCTCCCAGCCCTCAGCTCTGAAACATCGTCCTGCTCCAGAGAACTCCCAAAGCAATGAGGAAGTGTTTCGAGGCTCCCCAACCTGGGCATTCCTTGAAGAGCGCTATTTTCATTTCCATTGATGAACAGGTGTAGCAGAGCACCACCTGAAATAATAGTCTATATCTCAAAACAAAGAGTTGTCTCTTTCCTCTTTATCACACTGTACTTTGTTAAGAGAAGGCATGAGGTAGGCTAAGACAACCTTCCTATGTAGGCAAGGAGCTTTAACCTACATTTCAGATGAGTCATTTTAAAGAAATGCCAGAATGTTCCCTTATTGAGGGATTGTTTTTGTGTTTATCCAAAGCACGTAGCTAATGTGATAAATATCTAAATTAAATGATAGAAACTCCCTTGTAGGCATTGGGAAGATCATTCTAGAGAAACCATTCTGGGAGCTTGCTATAACCCTGTTGCCTATCTCTCATTCCACTGCCTAAGGAGTGTGGGATGGCTCCCTCCTGGAATGAGGTCCCAGTAGAAAAGCAGAGCAGCTTGTCCCCCTCCCTTCAGGGAACCTGGAAGAAGGAGCATGAAGTTGGAGGTCTGTGTACCTGGGACAAAAGCTGACATATTCCTGATCTTGGAGCATGATAAGGGACAAAATTCAATTTGCTTGGTACTAAAACAAACTTTGAGCCAGGAGGCAAAGGCAATGCCAGAGTTCTCAGGTAGAGAGAGGGAGTAAATACTGAGCATGGGTCTCCTTGGCCTTAGTGTGATGAAGGAATGAGCATTTAAGTTTCTGGGAAAGAATCACAGTTTTCCAAACGTATTTGAGCGTATCAAGTTACTGCCAGCAGTTTATATCCATCTCTAGTACTGTGTCCTATTTCTACACTACCTACACCTGGAGTCTCCCATCCTTACTACCTGAGTATACTTTCATGGTAAGTAATTGTGCTGAAATCAACTAAATCCCTCCCAGGATCTGCATGGTAACTTCCCCTCAGAGGATGACTCCTGTGGTTTTCCCCTACCAAGGACTGTACTAAGTAAGTGTAATAGCTCCAGTCCTTGATTCCTGCCATCCCTTCCTTCCATCTCTTCATTATGTCCCATTGCATTTCAGAAAGCACCAAAAACATTCATCTTGATAGTCAAAAGAAGGCTCTTAAGGTTTTTAGAAAGTGTCCAGTCTATTAACCAGCCATAAAAAGTGATCATAAAAATCTAAGCGTTTAATGCTACACATGAGTCTCTACAACCAAATCAAAATTCTGGCCCCTTTGCCTCTCTCGCTGGGAATATCCAATATTTTGCTGTTTCAGGGAAATGTCTGTTTAATCATTAATGAAATATGTGCAATTCTCTAAAAATTTTAATGAAATGGAGAAATCCAAGATGGAACTGAGAAGCAAGCTGAGGTCTGTAAACAGCTACAAAGAAAGGTAAGCCCCATCAAACTATGTCCTAGCCACATTCTCCCCATAGAATGAAACCCCTCCTATAAATCTGTTTAGAAGGCCTCTTGTACAGCTTGCTATACTGAGATAGAGCTCTTTCCTGCTAGCTATTTAGTCCAGACTGCACTCCCACCCTCACTTACAACCCCATCACTGAGTGGGTGATCCCCCACCAAAAGTAGCCTCAGTAACCTTGGACATGCAGTTGGAACACTTTTTTTAAAAAACAGCAAATACTATTTAAAACAATAAATCAGACTCATTCTCGGGATTTTTATTGAACCCCTCTATGAGCTTTGGCTTATTGGCTTCCTCAGGAAACTTTTTTAATTGCCCCAAACACTTGCCCTCTAGTTTTGGCCTCTTGGAGTGGTGAGCAAATGAACTTGGTGGGGTTAGAGCACTGCCATTAATGTTGAATCAAAATAGGCTTATTTCATAAGCATTGTAAATATCTTGTAAGTATTTGTGATACTTTTAGAATTGTTATCTGCTAGGCTGATACTTTCAAAGACAACCATTCCAGCTCACAAGAGGACAAAAAAATGAAAAAAACAGCTGCTGGTGTCCCTTTAAATGACTGGAAGCTTGCCTCTAGAATTGCTTTATTTTTTTTTTTTCCAGACAAGGTCCTCAGAGAAACAAGAGACTCAGAAGGAAGCAAAGTCATCCAGTCACCCAGCTTCACCCTCTCTGGAGACCTAGAAGTGACCTTTGCTGATTTTAATATTGTTATCTGTCCAGGGGCCTTCTAGTCTGCCATTTTATTCAACACAGGTTAGATGAATTAAACAAGGACTTAGACTTTACACTTTTGCCTGTGAATGTCCCATGGGTGGTTAAAATTAGGATCAGGGACTTAGCATCTCTGCCTCTTGCATGCTTCCCCCTGACTCTGAGCCACCTTGGATTCCATGAGCAATAGGTGTGATTGATAAACATCTTGTAGCAGTTGGAAAGCTTCATGGTGGCCATCACACTCAAATTCCCTCTAAACTTTGAGGAGAGTGTCCCCTGTCTTTCCTTCTCTAGTTACCTGGTTGGAGCAGGCATTGGTTCCCTGGAAGGAAAAGAGAAACCCCTAGCTTCTTAAGGAATCCATGGCAGAATGGCATAGCTCAGGGCTATACTTGCTCCCCAAAGTAAAAGATTTGGGTCATTTCCTTCCCTTAGGAAGAAATCTTCTGGCTGAAGTGGCCAGAAAATAATTTCAGGGGAAGATGACAAACATGAACAAAGAGCAGAGGGTGAAAAATACAGCACAAGGAAAACATTACAAAATCCTTGAGTGTTTTTATAATTTTCAGGCCAAATGTCTGACCCCTTGGGAAGGATGCAGATTTTAAGGTCAAAGTCACAAGAATGGAATGTGGAAAATAATAATCAGGGTTAGAATTCTCTGACATCTGTTAAGTTACTTGACATTTCGGAGCCCTGGTTTCTTCATCAGGGAAAGAGAAATAACTGTACATCTGAACCCAACCTGAATTGTTATTGATATACTGGTGATTCCCAAAGCCATTTCTCTAGCCCAGTCTTTCCCCTGAGCAACAAACAGTACAGTCAACAGCTGGGGAGAAACTCTATCTTGCTCCAAAGAAAATGCAACTTAATTCAAAATTTCCAAACACACTCCTTCCTATCAGACATCAGGAAATGGCATTGTGGTCCACGCTCTCCCAAAACAAAGAGAAAGCCACGTGACAGTTGCAATTCTATAATACCAAATACCCTATCAGAACAGAATGTTACCACAAAGGAGAGACAAAGGGGCTGACATGTAACAGGGCCAGGGGGTTAACAGAGCATATATAAGGCAATACCCCTCTGTGCTTGGGGCTCACTCAGCCTTTGGATGTACATCCACTGGGCCGGGGCCAGCACTTAACAAACACTGCTTCCTGCTGAATGCCCCTGTGTCCTGTCCTGTGTGCGGGAATCCCACAATAGTAGATTATGCATTCCTTTTTTGCTCAGTCTGTTGAGTAAGACTGTCACTGAGTTCTAATCTTGGTAACTCTTGACTCCCTCTTCTCTATTTTTATGAACTTTCCTTGAATTTCAGTTTCTCATCCTTAGCCTGCTTTAATGACTCATATAGTGTCTCATAACCCTAGGGCTTAGGAGAGTGGCTAGCACATAGTAATACATTAATATTGGTTGAATCTCAAGAATGGGCTGTGAAGACAAATCATTACATCAATGTGATGAATGCTATTAGGTATAGATTGCCACAAATGGATGAGGAGGACTCCAGATTGTCAATAATAAAAATTCTACAATTAAAATATTTGAGTACTTACTATGTTCTAGGTACTATGACAGTATAACAGTGAACAAGACACAGGCCCTGTCACAATGGAACTCATGGTCTCATGCAGTAGACACTCTCCAATGTCCAAATTGTCTAAGCAACATTGACATTTGGAAGCCAATATTCATCTTAAATTATGCAAAGATAAACTCATAAATCCCTGCCCCAAATCTACCCACTCACACATAACCAAATCTGCTCCAATTGCAATATTTCCCACATCAGTTAATGATAGCATCATCTTTCTATTTGTTCAGACAAAAAAAAAATGATGTCATCTATAACTTTTTCCCCTAAGGGTCCATATCCAGTCCATCAGAAATCCTGTAGTATCTACCTTCAAAAACGCATTAGGAAAGGGAAGGTACTGGGGAATAAGATTGATCAAATTAGGTTATGTACATGTTCAAATACAGCATAATGAATCCCATAATTATGTATAATTATTATGCACCAATTTAAAAAAAAATACATCTGGCCTATAACCACTTACCACACCCTCTACTGCTGTCATTACTGAAGTAACATTATAACTAATATCTCTGTTTCATCCTGAGAGCACACTCTCAACAGTCTATCTTCCATACAGAAACATGATGTTCTCAAGGAAAGCCTGGCTACATATAAAAAAATGGGGGCAGAAGGGAAAAAATGAAGAAATCTAAGCACAGGGTACTGGGAAACTTCCACTTCAAGAAATTAGAAAATAATTTCCAATTATTGAACCAGTCAGTAAGCAGAGGAAACTGAAAAGCAGTAGTCCATGAGGTAGCAGGAAAACCAGAAGGGTGTGGTGTTCTGGAAGCCAAGATAGTATTCAAAGAGAAAGTAATTTCCTGCATAAAAAGTTGTCAACAGCGAGGATGTGGGGAAAAAGGTACACTTGTACATTGCTGGTGGGACTGCAAATTGATGCAGCCAATATGGAAAGCAGTATGGAGATTCCTTGGAAATCTGGGAATGGAACCACCATTTGACCCAGCTATCCCTCTCCCTCTCCTCGGTTTATACCCAAAGGACTTAAAAACAGCATACTACAGGGACACAGCCACATCAATGTTTATAGCAACACAATTCACAATAGCTAAACTGGGGAGCCAACCTAGATGCCCTTCATTTAGATGAATGGATAAAAAAATGTGGCATATATACACAATGAAATATTACTCAGCAGTAAAAGAGAATAAAGTCATGGCATTTGCAGGTAAATGGATGGGTTAAAGAAGACAATGCCAAGTGAAGTTAGCCAATCCCAAAAATCAAATGCCAAATGTTTTCTTTGATATAAGGAGGCTGATTCATAATGGGACAGGGAGAGGGACCATGGGAGGACTAGACGAACTCTAGATGGGGCAGAGGGGTTGGAGGGGAAGGGAGGAGGTATGG